CTCGCCGAGACGGTAGCACGCGACGCGTGGTTTGCGAGGGTGACGTGACTGCGTGTAGATGTACCACGAGCGCATCATCGCGCATTACGAGTCGTGCTCGCTCGAGACGCTCCAGAACGCACTCGCGATCCTCGAGCGTTGGAGCGTCGTGCACATGGTCCAAGAGCCCGCCAAGACCCGCGGGGCCACGCCGCGGACCCTCGTCCTTCTCACGCAGCGTTACCACGACGTACATATGCATATCGACAATTCTGTGCAGGTACTGATTGGGACTAGGGCAAGGAACTCGACGTGCTTGCGCGGCGCCTCGCGACCTTCCGCAAGGTGCCATTGGGCGGTCCCAAGTCGATGGACATTGCGGACCTCCTCGCCGAGATCCCGGGCCTCGCCAAGCTCTAAGCAAGCAGCATCGTCGCTGGCTTGAACGATAAGGTCGATATAAGTGCATGGGAATTTTCGTCTTTTCTTGCGCGGTAGTTTTTCGTGTCAGTTTCAGTCCATGTGCTCGACGATGGAAACGACGCGAACGCTCGAGGAGCTCATGCCAGAGCTCGGGACTGCGTTCGCGGCGCAGGAGGCATCTCTCTACCGCTGCGTCTCGGCCATGTCGACTTCAATCGCTCGCGCCGAGGACGAGGCGCGACAAAAGGTGAGCGCGAACGAGATCCAAGCACTGCGTCTCAAGGTCCGCGACACAATGGACTACGTAAACGAGGCCAAGAAGACGATGCACAGCCTCGAGCGGTCCATGGAAACTCTCTCGGCCGAGATCGAGAGCCTCAAGCGCGAAAACGTCGAGAAGGATCGGGCGATTGTAGCGCTGCAAGACGACCTCGAGGACGCGCGGAGTTCGCACGATGACCAGCTTACGGAGCTCGACAAAAGTTTGAGTTCATTTTTAAGGTCAAGATGGAGCAGAAAGACGTCATCAAGCGCCTCGAGAGGCAAGAGAGGGCGTCTGTCGACATGCGCTACGGCATTACGATGCTCTCTAAATCCATCAACGATGAAGGCCTGGATGATGGTCATCAAAATATGGTTTTTCGGCTTACTCATGCAGTGGCTCTGTAGACGGAGGCATCACGCCCGTCTCGCTCGACTCGAAGCTCGATGTCATTGCGTCTATGCTTAGCAAGCCGCAGCGTGGGACCCTCTCCGGCGACTCACTGCCGCGCATTGCGTTGCCAGCTCACGTTGAGTCTATTTTGCGTACGGACCGTAGCAGCATCCGCAGCAACAACGACATCTCTCGACCGTCCAGCGCTGCCGAGAACGCGCTACGAGCACCCCTTGGTGGGGATATGTCAACGCGGGCATCAACACCAGAAACCAACCGTTCTGCTGCATCGAGGCTTCGCGCAGGTACTGTTTCGGGGCGCGAAGCAGCTGCCCACAACGTCGTTTCGGTTGGCAAAGAGACTGTGCCACCGACTGAGCCCTCCGCGACGGATGTCACAGTCTCAAGTACATCGCCCACCGCAAAGGCTGAGTCATCGTTGGTGCTTTCAACAAACGAGGAAACCCCGCAGCTCCCAACAACCGTGCCGATGGCACCAACGGCCCCAGCAACAAATGCCGATACAGTCGTTGTCGAAGATGAAGTCGAGAGCATCTCAACACTCGGCAACGAACCAGCGTCTACACCCGAGTCCAGTCCGACACCCAGTCCAAACGCAATTCATCAGCAAGGCAATCCGTCGACTGAGGCTTTGAAAGAGAGTTCTGAATCGCTACCGGCGGTGTCTTCTCTCGAGCCCGATGCTAGTGGATCACCACCGCTCGAGTTTGTCCGCCCTCCGCTGCGACGACGATTGAGTATGAGTGAACGACTCTCCCATGGCAACCTCATCCAGAGCATGATCCGCGAAGATGCAGTACCAAGGGACCTGGGGACGGTTGAAACCGCGCCTTCACGAAGCGACTATGAGAGCGCATCAGAGACGGCGGATGCTGACGGTACCTCAGAAGACCCCAAGAGCCCCGCGTACTACCGAGTGCTTTGGCGCTGGGCTATTTGCCACGTCGTCGCCATTATGCGTATCCACGTATCGTCTGTGTGCAGAGAAGCACGCATGTGTAAAGACTTATGTAGGGTTCGGCGGGTGCCAACAAGATCCTGACGTCGACCGCGCAGCCCACGGTGGCAAGTCGCGTCCGCAGCGTCGAGGCAGTGCTCGAGACGGTGCAGGCCGAGGTCAGCAAGGTCGAGGCCAACACAGCTGTCGTCCAGGAACTCCACCGAGTTGTCGAAACGCTGCAAACAACAGTCAAAAGTCAGCAGGTCGCGCTCGGGATGCTCCAGCAGGCCCAGCTCCAGCTCCAAAAAACGCAACTCGACCAAATGAGCGATGTCGACACCAAACTAGCGTGCGGTTCCCTGCATGATCATGCTTTTGTATCCTTTAGTTCCATAGTGCCTTGGGTACCGGCACTAACTTGGAGCTGCAGACAGTTCACAACGACGAGCCGGAAGTGTCGATGGTACCGATGGAGACATTCGTTCCTGTGCAAGAAGCTGTTGTCCGTCTCGGTTGGCTCGATGCGCCATCCGTGGGCGTTAATGAATGGTGCGATTAGAGGCCGCGATCGCCAAGCTCGAACCGCTCGCAAGAACCGTTGACGAGCACTGCAAAGCCAGCGACAAGAGCTTCCAATCGATGACAGCCGCCAGGACAGGCTTTTGCATGCCTTGGAGCGTGAGGTCGAGCGTGCTACAGAAGAGCTCCGAAAGAAGGCTGCAGAGATAAAGAGCGGAGTCGACGCGGTCGCCGAGTCGTCACAAAGTACAGCGCAGCGCCTCTACCGACTCGTACACTTTCTTGGCGATGCACTGCACCTGACGTTGGGAAGCGACTTGGACGCCAACACCAACTTGCTACCTGCCGTACACGGTGGGTTGCGTCGTTTCTCGTGCGATATTTACAAAAGGAACAGTGCTAGCGGCCAAATTACGCCACGATATTTCGTGTCTTCACCACAAATTGAGTGACTGGAGACAAGTTCACCCTGGCTCAACCATTGACGAAGCGGTCGTTAAACTTGATGGTGCCATGCGAGGTATATCCCACTTCTTTCCGGCGTGCTATAGAAAGATACCGTAGGTATTGACGATGCCAAGGACAAGGATATGGAAAGACATGTGCATGGGATACTACCAGCGCTCCATGCGATCTTTCACGGCCTCAACGAGTCTGGCAAAGAGCCTGCGTTGACTCGCGTTGCTCAAGAGCTGCTTCTACAAGCGCAAGCCTACGTCTCCATCGCTCCTGTACATGTGCGGATTCAAGGGATCCAAGCTACGTTTGCGGCCCACAACAAAGTAGACAAAGGTGCGTTCACTGCGGTACCAGCGGCTTGCATAATGAACGTAGAGCTGCGAGCGACCGCGTCCGAGCACGCGACGGCGCTCACTGCTTTGGACCAGCTCCAGACAGTGATTAAGGCCATTGGCATCAAGCTCGACTACGTCGTCAACAACACTCAGGCACACCAACACCACGCTTTGTGCCGCTGCACACACCTTTCCATAGACGATGATCATCGAAGACGATCTCAAGAGTGTTGTGAACCAGCTCAACGCCGAGCGCACTCAAGTGCGCGAGCAGCTGGAGCAAGCGATCCGCGACGTCGGTGACTTGGCCGCCGAGCGCGAAGAATCTATCGAGCACGAGGTTGGATGGCGCTTGTTTCGACACGTTGCTAACGCTACCGGGCAGATGTCGACGCTTGTGGCGCGACTTGGGTCCAAACCGGACCGTCAAGAGCTCTCGCGCGCGAATCAAGCCCTCCAAGATGGTTTGGTACTAACTGTGTCGTAATAACTAATGTACCTCGTAGAGATTAGCCGCCTCGTACAGTCGACTGCCTCGGTCGACGACGTCAACGAGCTCGCGTCGTACGTGCGTCTCAAGCCCGACGTCGCCCAAATCCAGCGGTGCGTGGATCGCTCACTTTTGCTCGTCCGAAACGGCGCATTTTAGCTTTGTCAACAAGCGTCTCGCTACGCTACAGACGCGATCGAGTGAGAACCATGATGCGCCGCTGCTTAGCTCGATGCCCGTGCGTTGCCTCTCGTGCCAAAACACGGTGCACGTCACCGAAGAGGCGCTGCAAAAGCCATCTCGGGACATCGTGGTGCCCTTCTCGGCCTCGTCCGTCCGACACGTGCAAAAGCAGCGCTTGGAACTCCTTGCGAAAGGTGGCACCGGTGAGAAACGCCCGAGCAAGAAAGGTCAATAACGTTGCTGCGTCATTCATTGCATTATTAAGGCTATCTTGATGGTGCATGTACCTTGGGTGACGAAATTCCAACAAAAGCCGCTTCCACTCACGAATTGGCGGCATTTTAGCCAAGCCAAACGTTCAAGATGGACCAAGTTGTGGACCTGGCGCAGAGCATAGTCACAGCACGCGAGCACTGCCTCGTTGGAGAGTATGCGACGGGCGCACCCCTCTTTCGCGAATGTGTGCGCATGGCCATGTACATGCGCCGCGTGCATCCGTCGCCAGAGATGAGACCGCTCCTCGACGCATTCGTTGCGAGCACCAAGCGCGAGTACGCGGTGTTTCATCGGTACATGACGACACTCGCGTTGCTGAAGCGCGTCGAAGCTCTTCCGACTATCAACGCCCGACCAAGAGCGCTCGAATCCCTAGCGTACACGTACTCGTCGCCACCGCCGTCGCCGGCTACCCTGTCTAGAAAACGGCGGCGGTCCATCATCGAGCTTACGACCGCCAAGCGTCTCAAGCTCGTACGTAAAGTGAAGCACTGTGGTTCTCAACTTGTGTCTATAGAGCGATGCAGGAAGCGACGACGACGCTAGCAGCACCGAGATTGCACCTGCTCCATGGACTTTTCGATGCGAGCTCATGTAGCCGCACTGGCAGGGCTCTCGAAGAGTGGGCCTTAACATGAGTGGTGCATTCAAGTGCTCGAGGAGGCTAGACAACCGAGTTCGTCACGCGATTCTAATTATTGACGGGAGATCGGAGTTGGTATCTTTCGAAGGTCAGAAAAGTAGTAAAACGCACTGCTCGGATGGACGACGATGAGCTACCACCGATGCTCGACTCGCTCGCCAAGCTCGAAATCTCGATTCGCCCCCAGTCGGTGCCCTCCTGGATCAACAGCGACGAGCACCATGCACCCAAAGCGTCATCCTTCCCGTCGCGCTCAACGCATGGCGATGATACGCTCGCGTCGTCTGTGCGCCCGCGCGCACCGATCCTTCCGCTGCCCAAACCTACCGCAGATCCCGAGATTCGACCGCGCGCCAAGCGTATGACAAGCTTCAAGCGGTATGCTTTCGAAACCTTGTCCCCATTTTCATTGTGGCAACAGCAAGGTCAAGCAGTCACTGACCGAGTCACTCAAGTCGCTCGAGTCGTTTGGTCGCACGAACCTTGGACGCGAGCTTGGCCACAAGCACGCGATCATGCAAACGGTCGTAGACCCGGAGGGTACGATGCCCTTCTTCGTACAGAGGCTGCACCGTCTTCACGCAGGCAATGTTCATTTTGTCAACATTGATGGGCTGGACGACAGCGTCGACAGCTTGAGTATCGACGACGACGAGTGGAAGCCGTTTGGGCGCAAGATGGAGCCAATCGAGACACCAACGGGCCGGGTCTTTGGTGGTCCATCGACGTGCTTCGACATCCCCGAGTTGCCGCGAGGCCAGCGCTGTGTCTTCAATATTCTATCTACCTGGTGCAGTAGCGGCTGCTGGTTGTGTAGTATCACTCATCGTAGGACGTAGGGGCGACCCTTACTACGGTAACATTCTCATCTCTGCAGGGTAGTGGTTCTCATGACACGCGGCCTCTTATGGTGCCCAGTCGGTCTCATGGGCATCGAGGTGCGGTTTATTTTGATTCGTTCACACTGACAAAGTGCTGGTCTAGATATTCGACCACACTGGCCACCTCGTCCGCCTTTCGGTCTGTCAGCTTTCACCGTCGACGCTTTCGTATCATTGAATTCCGGACGTAGGACGTGGACAAACAGCTGTCGGCGCACCCGGCGGACTTGAACGTCAACTCGCCAACGACACAGGACCCGCGCACCATTGACAAGATCGTGGATGGCCACAACTACACGTGCGACGAGCTTCATGCGTGGCTGGCACCCTTCGAGCGCGGTGCGTGTGTGTTTTCTGTTTGACAAATCACTACAACAGAAGAATGCAGGACAAAACCACTACATCTACATGGACTTTGACTACCCAGTCTCGATTGCAATGATGCGCGTCTGGAACTACAACACAACGCGCATCCACTCGTACCGAGGCGCACGCTACATGGAAATCTCCCTCGACGGCCGCTTCATCTTCAAGGGCGATGTCAAGCGCGCAGTCGGCGCCGTCGACTCGATGGTCGATTGCGATCTCCACCATTTAGACTACATCTTCTCCTATGGTGTAGGAAGCGTGCTGCGAGTGCATCCTTTTTACGCGGAATCCTTCCATCCTCCAAGTTATTGAAAAATATGAGCAAAAAGAAGATGAAGCGACGCCCCGAACGCTCGCGGCCGCGACGGAGGGGCCTGAGAAACGCCATCTGAGCTGGTGGGAGCAAGATATTCCCGCCGAACGCCCCAAGACCGGCGGTCTCATTTTTCCTCGATTCGTGCTGGACCCAATGAGTTGCAACTAGAGAAACGGGGGCGACAAAAGGATCTGCTCTCAATGCCAACAAGCACCAATGGAATTTGCGAACCGTCGTCTGGGGTACGAAGCGACGGTAACTTTCAACTCTGGACGAATGGCGTCGATGATAGATGCGCCCATCAGCGGCGTTTGCGCCGTCGCCAGCGCTCTCACCGTTTCGGCCTCGAACAGCCCCGATTGCGCGGGAAAAGGGCGCGGATCGACCAGTTATGTGCCAAGAGATCAAGCTCTTCATCAAGGGCAATTGGGGTGACCCCACGGAAGTGGGGCTCACGGGCCTTGAGATACTTGACGGCAATTTCGACACAATCCCGATCGACGCGGACTGTCTCTTCCCACCGAGCGTGCTCGTGCTGCTCATTTCGCCCAACAACATTTCGACAGACGCTGACGACATGTGGCTCACGCCACTTGCGACAGAGCCGTCGATTGTGATCAACTTTGGCTTGCGCCTCTCTGTTGGGGCTCTCAAAATATGGAACTACAACGCGTCGCTCGAGGACTCGTACAAAGGTTAGATTACTTGTTTCACTTGCATCAAGTCTCAACAATGCACGCAGGTGTCAAGCGCCTCGCTATCATGATGGATGGGGACTGGATGTCCCCGCCCGAAGGCTTCTTGATTCGAAAGGCTCCTGGTAGAAAGAAACAAACGTGTTTGCCGAGTCGGTGCTCTTAGCGTCGTAGGCAACTCGAATTTCGATTTTGGCCAGTTTGTACAGCCCAAGTCAGCGCACCACGCGTCGTCGACCGTGCTCACAAGATCCATTGGGGGCGACTTTTTCCAGACTGAGCCGTTCGCGCACCCGCCGCCACCGACCGCCGACCCCAAGCGCATGAGCAGCCAACGTGCGTTGGCCCCACGTCATGAGACGCGCGAATCCAAGGCTACCAGCGTACGCTGCGTCTCTAAAAAGCAGTCCTTGACGCTGGACTCGTAGAACGCGATGCCCAAAATCGACGAGACGCTGCTGTGTCAGCAGTACCACACGCCGCTGTTTCCATGCGGCTGCATCGTCAAGATCGTCATCATGTCGACGTGGGGCGATCCGTTTTACGTCGGCCTCAACGGCCTCGCTCTCTACGATGCGCAAAATATGCTCGTACCAATTGGCGAAGACCAGATCCAGGCCGTGCCCCGCGACATCAATGTCCTCCCGGAGAGCAAGGACGCCGACGTGCGCACGCTCGATAAGCTCTACGACGGCATCAACAACACGTATGACGACTGCCACATGTGGCTCACGCCCTTCAACTATTCGTCCGAGAGCGTCAAGATCTTTATCTTCTTTGACGAGCCTATCGTGCTCTCCAAGCTCATGCTCTGGAACTACAGCAAGACGCCCTCCCGCGGGGTTCGTGCTTCTTCCATCAGCATTTACACGACGACATGAAGTAGGTGCGGGAGTTTGAGGTGATGATGGACGACGTACTCATATACCACGGCGTATTGCGGAAGGCCCAAGAGTGCACTGACCCCGACCTCGTACGCAGTACTTTGTCGTGATTGTTAATAATCGTTCTTTTAGCGACGACGCGCGAATAACGGCGCGACGAGCCGCCGCATGGCCCACGTGCCGGACATGGCGACGAGTGTCCTTTTTACCAACGACGCGGACGTGCTTGAGGCCGAGAGCGACGCTGGTCACGTGTACGTGCCCGAGGAAGAGTGCGAGACAACGTTCATCGACAACAGTCACGTGCTTCCCGCGGGCGAGCAGCTGCCCACGCGTCCGCCGACAAGCGCCGGTCCAACTTGGAAATAGCTTCGTTATCAGAAATCCCAACTTCAACCAGATCGGTCGTCGGAGACGGGAGGATCCATGTTGCAGTGTGAGTCCAACAGGCCAAGGGACCGAGCATACATACCCTCTTTGCGGCGCCTCGCTCGTGTTGCCTTCCATCTACTCTGACGCAAATAGATGCGCTTGGGGAGATGGGTACTGCTTTCTGGGTGCTGCTCCGACCCGCCTTTGTCCCCGAGACAATCCCGCATATCCAAAGACCAGTACACTGACTGCAGCGTCTTGGGTGCTCGAGGGAAGGAGGATGTGCACTTAGTGCGACATGTCATAAATTACCTTATTGGGTGCATGTTGACTCGTATTCCCACTCTAGATAGCCTATCACACACTGCAAAGTACTCGTATAGGGCAATTCGGATTTCCGCACCGCACTTTCAACTTGGACTTTGCATCACAATCCAATCTGCCATGGCGGCCGAACTTACCCATGAGTTTCTGAACGAATCCTTCGAGGCCTTCGAGGCCGAGCCGCGCTTCAAGCTCGCTCGCAACACGGTTACGTCCACGGAGTGGGGCCCGGCGCTCATGGACCGCAGCCACGTCCAGTCGCTCAACCACGTCTTCTCCAAGCGCCTCCCCGATGCCAAGATCTGCAACCAGAAGAGCTCGGGTCGCTGCTGGCTGTTTGCCTGCTCGACGCTCATGCGTCGGGCACTCCAGAAGAAGTACAACCTCGACCCGGACTTTGAGCTCTCGCAGACGTACCTCTTCTTTTGGGTATTCTCGTCCGCGCAAGTCAGCGCTTAAACGGTATCTTGGAGTAGGACAAGCTCGAGAAGTGCAACTGGTGCCTCGAAAACGTCATCGCGACGGCGAATGAGCCCGTGGACTCGCGCCTTGTGCAGTACATCCTCACGGACCCGACGTGCGATGGTTTGTCTCCTACCGATTATTGGCCCGGAGTAAAAGAGTCGTTGCGTAGGTGGTCAGTGGGAGATGATTGTCAACGTCGTCGAGAAGTACGGCGTCGTTCCCAAGAATGTCTACGGCGAGTTCATCTCGTCGGAGCTCTCGGCGCACCTCAATGTCTTCCTCAAGTCCAAGTTGCGCGAGTTCGCCGAGGAGCTGCGCTCGCTCCACGAGTCGGGCGTCGAGATCGAGTCGATTCGCGCGCGCAAGGCCGAAATGATGCAAGTCATCCACCGCATCCTGATCATCCACTTGGGCACACCGCCGACCAAGTTTGACTTCAGCGTCCAGGACAAGGAGAAGAAGCACGTGTACTTCCCCGACTTGACGCCACAAGCGTTCTACGCTGAGCACGTGCCCGTGAAGGTATCTGAAATGGTCAGTATCGTCAACGATCCGCGCCACGAGTATGACATTACGATGACGGTCGACAAGCTTGGTAACGTTGTCGGCGGCAAGCGCGTCTTCTACATCAACACCCCCATCGATGCGCTCTGGAAGTACGCCAAGGCCACGATCGATAACGACCTCCCCGTGTGGTTTGGTTGCGATGTCGGCAAGGCCAGCAGCTTGAAGAAGCTCGGCATTATGAGCACGAAGCTCTACGACTTCGACTTGGCCTTTGGCACGACGCTCGGCCAGGACAAGGCCGGTCGCCTCCGCCACAAGGAAAGCGAGATGACGCACGCGATGGTCTTCACGGGCTACAACGTCAAGCCTGACGAGGAGAAGCCTGACAAGTGGCGCGTTGAGAACAGCTGGGGCACAGAGCGCGGTGACAACGGCTACGATGTCATGACGGCCGACTGGTTCGACGAGCACATGTACCAGGTCGTCGTTGACAAGGCGTCGCTGACCCCCGAGCACCTTGCACTTCTCGAGGCCAACGACCCGATTGTGTTGCCCGCGTGGGACCCGATGGGCAGCTTGGCGTAAGCTTGCGAAAGCAATCATTAACTGGGTGCGACACTGTTATTATCAAGTTGATATTACGATCACCCAAGCGGCACATAATCGCGTTTACGACCCCGGATTGAGATGCGGCCGAGGAGGACTCCGGCGAAAAGCGTGGTGGCAATGAGGACTCCGCAGTACAGTTGAAGCGATGGAACTGCCATCGTCGCAGATGGCGCTGCTGCCGAGTCCGACGCGACCATGCGCGATGCGTTGACCGCGATGTCGTCAGTCGAGTCGCGGACCAGCAGTGTGTCTGACGTGCTCGTCGACGGAAATTGCCGGAGACCGTAGATGGACCCGCCGTATGATGCATGACGGCTCCAGACGAGGTCTTCCATCGCAATGTCGGGCACGGCGTATGAGCAGTCGGTTTCGATGCCGAGGTTGTTGCTGCCACGCACGATTTTGAAAAACCATTCTCGCCCCAGTAGCTACATCGCGAGTGAGAACGTTGGTTGTAACACGATGATGTGTACATACGTGCCCCACGAGTTGCGGGCGTGCCAAAACTTGAGACCTGTCGCCGCATCGACTCCATACCCGACAATCTCAACGTCGTGGTCGAGGTCAGTGAAATTGGTTTGGTCCACGTACACGCCGCGCGTGTAATTCACGGTAAAGTCGACGTTGGCAGCAATCGCGCATGTGATCGGTCCGTTCTGTAGTTCCCGAAGCATTGCGTCTTCCCCCGCAATTGACCCGAACGAAGTAACCCGGTACCGAAGCACCTTGGTCACAGGAAAGCACACTGGCGTGCTCGGACTGTCGTTCGTATACATGCAACTACCGGATACAGTCAGCATTAGGGGTGCCATCGATTCATGTACTCGATGCAGTAGCCTTCGGGAGGGCACGTCCCGTTCGTCCATGTGTATTTGGTGTGGTCCGTCGCGTTGTACGGCAGGCAGGTCTCGTCTGGCAGGCCATAGATACGCATGAAGTCGTACACGTCGGTCGGCTCGCCGCCGTTGCAGCCGTCGGAAAAGCCATGTCCTGGTGCGCAGTTAAGGAAGCTCTGGCGTCCGAGCATGACATCCGGGCCCGAGAACCCGCGCTTGTGATGCAGGATCTTGATCCGGTCCTGCACGGCGGAGAGCGTACCATGAAGATAGCAAGCCCCGCAGTACGCGGGTATGTGCTGGTTCCATGACGGCGTGCACAAACCACGCTCACACCAGTCGATTGACGGCGGCAGTACAGCATCGAAGGATGTCATCGCCTGTGCCATGGAGCGGCTGCGGGTTGTTCGCTTGCAGTGGCAGAGTGCATGGGCTCCAGCGGCGAGCAGTAGGAGGGTGAGGAGCGCTCGGAGCTGTTGCATGACGCCCTGTGTGTCGGGAAGCTGCTCTTGTCGACGCGGAAGCAGGCAAATTGGGAAATGGTCGTCGCCACGGCAGACCCTCACTATGGAGTTGACTGAAAGTTTGTATACAAGTGAAAAACTGCCGTACCCATGGCGCAAGATTCGATCTTGATACGAGACTACGATTGGTTCAATTTGGGCGAATCAGCGCTGTGGGCCTAGACAACTTGCTTCGAAACGGCCGCGTTTCAGCCAATCCAAAACAAGGTCGACGAAGCGGTGGTTTCACTTCAGGATTGCGTCGACGGAAGCCACGCGAGGAACCATGGAGGCGACGCAGGCCGGGCTCCTCGACAGCTTTCGCACGGGAAAGCGCCGACTCATCCAGCAAGTGCTCACGAAGCTTGGGCAAGCCGAAACCTCGGACGACCACGAGTACCAGATTCTGCGTGACCGCCACCTCGAGCTGCTCAACGACGTTGAAACCCTTGTCGTGAGCATGAAGAGCTTTGCTGCTAATCTCATTGGTATAGACTCCAGACGTACGAGATCGGTACCACCACAAACTTCGATGTAGCGCTTGGACACGGGTGCAGCTCGCTCGGTGGCAGCGTGGCCTCAGTGCGCAGCACTGTGGCTGGGGACAACAACCGAACGCACTCGTCTTCGTCGTTGCAAGCTGGAGGAGACACAGGCTCCTTCGCCATCTCGATGGCCAACGTAGATAACAAGGCCCGCGAATTGGCGGTACTAAGCGATTTCCGTATCGTTTTTACCTCGTGCCGTGTTAGAACATTACACTGTCTACCGCGATGGCATCGTCGCTCCAAAAGATGCTCGGCGACCTTCATGAGTTCAAGGTGGCACTGCTGCATCGTGCTACTATAGCTCAACATATAATCCGCGCTACATAGAAGGAAATGGACAAGCGTGAAAAGCTCAAGCTCGACTACGACTCGGCTCGCCGAAAGGTCCGAAATGAACTCGAGCGTTCTTGGACGTTGTGCTCACAAGCGTGTCTAAATGAGATAGCTCCAGAAAGCACGCGAGCAGCAACAAGCTCAAGACATTATGCGGCGCGATGCCAAGGTATGTGGTTGCTCGCTCGGTGGGCGTCACCTAGCCGTTATTGCTTAGCTCAAGCAAGCGGCGCAGGCACTGGATACTGCCACGAGAATCATCATGAAGAAGATGGCGCAGTACGAGTCACTCCGCCCGACGCTTTTCCAAGCCGAGCTCGATGCGTTCCGAAAGCTCCAAATGGCTTTTTTCCAATCGTGTGCCACGGCCTTCGGCGCACCTACAGCCGCGGTACACGCTGATGCAAGAATAGATAGCTCATATTACGCGTTGCTAGGACGCCAAGGCAGACGAAATCTCCCAGGCTGAGGCCGTCTCGTTCAGCCCGTGGGGGTGATATCTGCATTTTCCAGCAGCTTGATAACTACTGAATCACTCTATTCGACATCGCTCCACAAAAAATGCGCAAGGAATCAAAAATCGGTGTTTGGTCTGCAGAAATATATCGACTAAAACAAGAGAGTACCGACTAACTAGTACTATCCGGATATTTGTATGACGAGGAAGGAGCGCACGGTCGGCGGCCACTACCAGCTCGGGCTCGAGATCGGGAAGGGCGGGTTCGGCACCGTCTTCAGCGCGCTGGACCTGCGCAACGGGAAGAGCGTCGCGATCAAGCAGGTATCGCTCATCGACATGGCCAAGGAGGAGCTCGCAGCGATCGAGTCCGAGATCAATCTGCTCCGCAAGCTGCACCACGAGAACATCGTCAAGTACTACAACACGATCAAGGAGGACGATTACCTCTACATCATCCTCGAGTACATGGAGAACGGCTCCCTTGCACAGTTCATGAAGAAGTTTGGCACGCTATCCGAGACGCTTGTCGCCATGTACATCACGCAGGTGCTCCGCGGCCTCGCGTACCTCCATGCGCAGGTCCGTCCAACTCTCTTTTCAGAGCCACGTACGATACAGTGCATTAGGGTGTGCTACACCGCGACGTCAAGGGCGCCAACATCCTCACGACCAAGGACGGGCTCGTCAAGATCGCTGACTTTGGCGTCGCGATCAAGCTCAACGAAGCGCAAAAGTCCAATTCGGTCGTCGGCTCGCCCTACTGGAGTACGTAATCATGCTTCCAGAGATCGCAGGTAAGATACGTATGTGGTTGTGTGCAGTGGCCCCCGAAGTGATCGAAATGGCTGGCTGGTCATCCGCGTCCGATATCTGGTACCCAATCTTGTTTTGGATCATGCTCACGACATGTAGGAGCGTGGGTTGTACCATCATTGAGCTCCTGACGCAGAAGCCGCCGTACTTTGATTTGGCGCCGATGGCTGCACTATTTCGCATCGTTCAGGACGACCATCCGCCCCTGCCCAAGAACATTTCACCTGTTCGGTTGATGTTGAGCCTTCCCTGTGTTTACGCTCTACATAGGCGCTCCACGACTTCATCATGAAGTGCTTTATGAAGGAGCCGAGACTCCGTCTCTCGGCGGACGAACTTCTCTTGCACCCGTGGGTTTCCCAGATCCCGCGCAACAAAGTTGAGCAGGTGGACACAATCTTCAACAAAGCGACGCTCATCTAAGATCTAGAGTACGCAAGAGGTCCAAGAGAACGTGACATCAACCGATGACCGTGCAGCGGTGCTCAACACGATTCGTATGTATGACAGCTACACGCGTGACTCGTCACAGTCAGCGCTCGAGTCCATGAAAGAAGATGACGACGACGAGAACTGGGACAATGACCTCGAAGAGCCCGCTGCACCACTGCGTCTTCCCACAGGCTCCAAGACTGTGCTGCCCAAGCCCAAGGATATTGTTGACGCACAACTCCGCGCCCTTCATGGTGACATGGAGTCGCGTCAGCGCAGTGGCTCCGCCCTGACGCCACAAGCCTTTCAGCTCGGTCCGGACGATGCCGCCGATCCGTTTTGGGATGATGACGATGAGGCAACGGAAGACGAAAAGTCGCAGTCATTGTACGGCTCGATGGTGCTTCCGTCGCTCGACCCCGATGCATCCAAGCTCGACCGGTTCCGCGAAGGCAAGGAAGATACGTTGGACGGTCTCGAAGCCACAAAAGAGAGCGAAACCCAAGCTTTTTGCGCCTCCGGCTCTCTTCTTCCCTGCCAGACGTGCGTATTTGGAGATGCATGACAATACGATTCTAATCTCTGGTGCCCCACCTAGGACAACACGATGGATGGCTTTAGTGACAATCCGTTCGACGACCCGTGTAACAAGACCTGCATATTTGTGATGGAGTCACGTATATTCTCATTTTTTCGTAGTCTTTGATACGTCTGCAAGGGACACGACGTACAAAGCGACGGCCCGCGTCGTGGAGCTACTCTCTCTCCTCGACCCTAGTATGGAGGACCGCGTAATCTTGGACGCGTGTCAGCAGCTCGTGGGGCAATGTTGTCTATCATTGGTGGTGCTTACTCCCAGCGCGTAGCACGACCTTTGCCGAGAAAACCCAAGCCTGCGCCAAGAGCTCGTGTCGCAACCTGGCGTGATGCCGAACATCATGGAAGCGCTAGAAATGAAAAAGCGCAGCATCCTCGTCGCTGTTCTCAAAGTCGTCAACATGGTACGAGCTCTTTTGTATCAAGCGACTGAATAAGCGGTCGATAGCTCGTGCTCGACAACAAAAAGTTTCTGGAGAATCTTGCGCTCGTTGGGCTCATTCCTGTCGTCGTCAAGCTCGTCGAGATCCACGGCGGGGTACGAGTCATTTCGTACAATTTATGCGTCATGTTCATCATAGGCCCAGCCATCGTCAGACACGAAAGCGCTCGTGCGTATTCAAGTCGCCGCCTTTGTTCAGCAAAGCTGTGCTACGAGCTCGCTGACGCTGCAGATGTTCATTGCTTGCGGCGGTCTACCCGTCCTCACAGACTTTTTGAGCGTTCACGAGCTTACGCTGCAGCGAATTGCGATCCAGGGCATCGTCAGTGTCTTTACGCTCCAGGTGCCGCTCTTTCTCTTTCATGACATTTATGAATGTGCCGGTGTTTAGACGATCCCAAAGAACGACACATGTCGTCTCTTCGTCAAGGTCGGCCTCCTTCGACGGCTCATCCTCGTGTACAACCAAATGATTCTGACGATCGTACAAGAGTGCAAGTCCTTGGCACGCGAAGCCACGTATTCGTGGAACGAGCTGCACCAAGTCTGCGACATTTTGCTTCTCTTTTCCCAAGGCGACGTTGTGGTAAAGGAGCACATGTGCGAAATGGCCGTTCTCGAAGGTGCCGAGACAACCTACTTGATCGCCCAGTGACATTACGCATAGGTCTCCTCTATTCGCTGAACCCGGGCTACGATGTTGCGAACGAGCCGCAGTACGCTACAGCGATGGTCAAGGTGCTCAAGTGTATTCGCAATCTAAGCATGGAACCCAACACGCTTGAGAATCTCGACCGAGCGGGGACGATTCCGACCCTCGTGCACGTGCTCCATGACGAGTCATCTCCTCAAATCAAGGTACGTCACGAGCTACTTGACATTGAGCATCCTTCAACCAAGCCTGTAGGACATTCAAAACGTCGTGCTTCACGCAATGTTTTACCTCTGCCGCATCAATCGCAATCGTCAGACGCACGTACGACATACCGAGTCGTTATATACCACCACCATGTGCATTGGTGTAGGCGGCGCAAGCAGGCTTAATTCCGTTCTTGCAACGCGTGACGTTGACGCGCAGTCCCTTGAAGCAGTTTGTGCTGCCCATCATTTGTGACATGGCTCACGCGTCGGCAACTGCCCGCGAGCACCTCTGGTGTGCACTCGCCCTTGAACGCTTGCATGATTTACGGGTCGGGTCGTCTTAGGGCCTCCGACGGTGTCACCTTCTTTCTCACGCTTCTCAGCGACAAGTTTTGGCAAATTGACGCCATGAAGGCGATTGCCACGTGGCTGGTCCACGACACGGTGCCGCTTGGATCCTTATATGAGGCATGTGATGAAAGTGAACATATAGGTCAATGTCGAGAGCATGCTCCTGGCGCCAGCCCACATTCAACTGCTAGTTTCTTGCTTTCGCAGCGCGGAACAGCAGTTTGAAAACCTTCTGGAGTCGCTTCTCGAGATCCTCTCTCGCTCCGTGCGTCTCAATCAAGCGCTGGGTCGATCAAGCCTCTTTGTGATGGAGATTTTATACCGGCTAAGCTACCCCAAACCGTTTGTGCGCAAGAACCTGCTCAAGATGCTCAAGTGCATCTTCGAGTCGCACACCGCGCCGGTCCAGTTCCTCCTTGAGTACAACCTCCACCCGACCATTCATGCGCTCGCGCAAGAAAACAACCAGATTTTGATCCAAGAGATTGCGTCGCAGCTGCTCCAGACGATCCTCGTCACTGCCGCCGTGTATTAATTCACACTACTTGTGATCGGAAAGAGGTGTGCCTCTGTGTTCATAACATAGCCTTGCAGAAGCGGCAGGACGGCCGCCGTGTCGGCGAAGAGCAAGTAGAAGTACTTGAGCGTCTCGGCGAGGAAGAAGCTCTCCATGAGTCCGTGTGTAGAGCGGGGCGTTTTGAGATGGAGTCGATGAACGGTTGCGTAGCCGCCGTCGCCAACTGGACATGCACACATGAGTATGCTTGGGGGATGCAACGACGTACGTACCCGTGCGTGTGTCTCGAAGGCTTGAAAAATTTCCCGACCCCACTCACGGTACACTTCGTTGCCCGTCGTATGGTAGAGCAACATGAGGCTCTCAACGACTTCGGGTCGCAATGCGTGGACATTAGACGGATCGTCAATCGGAAAGAAAAAGTCGGGTGCTTCAAAGTATGGGCGAGCATTTGGGTCGTTGTGCTTGAAACGCTGGCGCGTCGGTGGCACGACTCTCTCTTCGCCTTCAACGTCAAAATAGACGTCTTCGGGTGCCAGCCCGCTTGGCGTTTCGTGGTACATCTACAAACTGTTAGATTTCAAAGAACAAATGACCATGACTCAAAGGGTACCATGTAGCACGTGCGCATGAGGTCCTTGGCGAGGTCAAGGTGCCATGACGGCATACCGTGTAGTGCGCCGAGAGCGAGCATCCCTGGCACAAAACACGAGAGGTGGTCCATCTTGGCTTGAAACAACCGCGTGTTGTCACCGCGCAGAACAGAACTGCCGAGGATTGTGAGTTTTCCGGGGCCGTTGGCCGTGCGGATGAGCTCCGAGCGCATCGAAGAAATCGAGGTCTCATAAGCGTCCTTAAAACGGTCGTCTTGCTTGTCGGTGAATAGCCATTGCTTGAGGAGGTACTCATAGTAGCTGTCGCCGTCGGCGCCGAACGAAATGCTGCTTTCTTCGTTGACCCTGAGTCAAGTGTCATTATGGATCGTAGATTGCGACGAGTCATACCCGCCCCACTCAGTGTCGACGCCCACGGGCACGAGCCCATCCGGAAAGCGGAACGTCATTTCGTTTAGCAACTACGATGGAGATCAGGACGACAGATGACGCTGCGTGCAAAATGAACTTGATCCATGACAACGTCCACCGCTTTGCGGTACTTTTGGTTGCAAGTGAGTTGTGTCAAGTATTGGAACTCGAGCTGGAGCGAGCCAACTTCGGCGAGTGTCGTCGTAACTACTGCTCCGCCCTTTCCATTCTACGAGCAATAGGTGACGTTTTTGCGGAGTAGAAGGAGAATCAACGAAGAGTGTCAACGATGGGTGCGGAAACCCCGATGGTGTCTGCGTAAAAGCGTGGCTAAGTCGCTGTCCGAGGGCATCGGCTGCAGATAGTAGTTCATGCCGGCCTACGATGCGGTGGCAATAAACCTCATGCGCGGACAGCAGCGTACCTGAGAGATGATATGCTGACAAGGGTCCACCGAGAACGCGAATCGTCGTCTCAAATACGCTAACTGTGCCACCGTGAGCGAGCTTGGACGGGAATACGTCTCGGACCCAACGCACGCCTTCATCAAACTCTCTGCGCATGCCAATGATGTAGAGCGTATCAAGCGCGTCGATAAGCGTGATCCCGATGTTGTGTTCGTTCCACGCGTGTCCAGACTTGGACCGCGAGTCAAAAACGTCCTGCCCGAAGGCGTGGTCGCGGTACGCCTGCCACGCCCATCGCGTCGCGTTCACCACACGCACTTGATCGGCGTCAGCGCTTGGACGCAAGAAAGAGGTATCGCGGCTGCTCGATGCTATGTCGTGGTGGTCCTTGCTACAACGCTTGATGTACTGACGTAGGTGGAGCGGCATCGAGTCGACGCCAAGCCGCTCCTGGATGTGATCGGGCAGCGGGAGTTTGCCCGTCACGACGATGTGCAGGAAGATGCTGCCGATGAGAAGCGTGAACAGAGCCAAACTGACGTTCCGCCGCTGTGCCGGTGCGATCGTGGCCTCATGGACGTGGTGCGAGGGCAAGCGCACGGCCCGTTGTCGGAGGTCGCCCATGCTATTAGTTTGCGTGCGATTAGCCGACTGAAACAGGGCTAGGGAAAGGTTGAGATCTGACCAATCAATGGTAGGCCCAAATATCTGCGACCAATCGCAGCGAGAGGGCAAGATGCAAGGCAGGTGGCAGGGCGCGGTTGCGATCGTCGTGCTCGCATACGTAGCCGCCATTGCCTATTTCTACCACATCGAGACGGCGGTGAACCCCATGGGCGTAACGAAGGAGATCATCAAGACTGGCCACGGCCCCAAGCCGACGAAGGGCGCGACGGTCACCGTGCATTGCACGGGCTACGGCAAAGACCGTGACCTGAACCAGAAGTTCTGGAGCACCAAAGACGCCGGCCAGCAGCCGTTCACGTTTCAGGTCGGTATGGGCAGTGTTATTCGTGGTTGGGACGAGGGCGTCCTTGGCATGGCCTTGGGTGAGGTCGCGCGCTTGACGTGCTCGCCTGACTACGCCTACGGTGCGCGTGGGTTCCCGGCGTGGGGCATCCAGCCCGACTCCGTCCTCGTCTTCGAAATCGAGGTGCTCCAGATCCAGTAATCAAGGAGAATAAAGTCTCGCGACCAAGGCTTTAAGTGTGCACATTGCTGTTTGTCATTGTTATGGCATGTGTATTCATTCATCAATCATGCAGGGAGGTGAAGCGACTTCGTGAGGTTACCGGCGAGGTCGGGCCGGAACTTGGCCAAGCTCTCGCGAAGGTACGCTACTTCATCGCGCAATGCTCGCAAGCAAGGACTCGTCTATTCATTGTAAGGAGGGGCGGCACTCGTGCTTCCTTCACGTACCAGTGGGAGGCGAATCTCGGGGCTTTCGATGGGGGGTTTGTATTTGGTGTCGGAATGGCGCGGGTTGTATTTCTTGAGCTCTGTACTGAGTTTTTCCTAACGTTAGTACATGATATAGACAAGTACCAAGCCTTCATTGATTGTCCCACCTGAATCGCGCGGAGCTGCTTCTCTTGGCTCTCCAGCCACTGTAGTGTCAGCATGCTAGCCTAGCACGTGCTCGATCTATTACCGTATTTGCGCTAGCGCCGTGCATGTACCTTCATGAGGCTTGTTGGGCGGCCTAAAATTGTAATTTTGGCCCCAATGTGGAGATCCCATGCCTCCAGCGGCTTGCTGTCGCGGCCATTGATGTGCGAGATTGTGTACACGTGCTCCGAGTTACCGAGAACAAACTGACATCGCGCATCGTATTGCAAAAACTTTGGAGAGGATGTCTGTACCTGGAAATGTTTCGTGCGAATGGAAAAGTAAATGTCGGCATAGCGCTTCACCGGCGCGCCGTCACACGTCTCGTGCCACCACGCGTGAAAGCAAAGAATGTCGAGTCGGTCAATGCTACACAAACGAGCGTCGCACCAGTAATGTAGAGAAGCCAAAGGGTACGATTTGGACTTTGGCTGGCGGTGGATTTCGGCAGCGCGTTCAAACACCTCCTTGGGTATTTGCACGTGTGTTGCGCTGGGCACGAGGCCCGTCAACGGGAATTCATCCTGCTGCGTGTTGGTGGCGAAGTCGTAGAAATAGCTCTCGTTGTTCTCGCGACGAAACTCGAGCCATGCGCTGGCGACGTCCCGCCGTCCGTCATTGCGTCGATGGGCTTGAATCTGACTGCGAAAGTACGCATCTGCAGGGTGCTCACGCTGAACAACCCCGCTGAGCTCGTTCATATAGAGCGGTGCGCCTGCATACGGCACGGTATCTGTGCGTTCGTCCTCGTCCACCGTGTCGTCGATCTCGATCCAGTTTGGCGGCAATGGCGTCTCGACCGCTTGCTTGATGAGTGGCAGGAGGTTTGGCGTCTCAGTTAGACAGACGTTGTAGTACTTGGCCATGTTGAGAAGGTCCAGGGGTACGATAATGCGACCGGTCGTCTTTTCGTGGGCCTTGGACATCGCTACTTCTTCCTCGGCGCGGTGCTTTGGTATGTGAACGCCTAAATATATGTACAGGAAGTAGGAACAAGGGGATAAATATAGCTCAGTTTCTGGCACATTCTTACTTGGCGAAAACGCCATCCTATGCGGTGCGTGTCCTGGGTAAAAGTCGCTCCGAATCGATGCAATTAAGCACGGCAGGGCGTACGGCGATTATGCCAAAGCAATCCCACAGGCGGGACGGTAGCATAAAATCAAGCGATTCAGCTTTCGCAAACTGAAGTAGGATCGTACAAGCGCGGCCAAACCCTACTCTGAATGAGGAATGCTTGCTTGCGATTGGCTACATTTCTGCCAATTAAATAGATGGAGTAAAACGAGATAGCACAAAAACGCAAATGCGCCGCGTCGAGTCCCATGCAGCGGTGCCGTCGGCCGGGGTCGCCTTGCCCGTGAAGAGCCGCAGCGCCGGTGTCAGCGAGCGACGGAAGCCTCTGCATCGCTTTGTTGTGACGGACGCACCAGAGGACCCGGAGCTTCTGTTTAGTCCGCGCAACGCTGAGGAGCCGACGTCAACCAAGGTCGACGCGCCGCGAAGAATACTTGACGCAAGCCGAACACGTCCCGGCAAGATGGAGCAGAAAGGTCGATTCACCATCATCGATCTCGTGCCAACGTCGCCAGCATCAGAGTTGCCATCTGCCATGATGACCTTTGGGGACAAAGGCCAACCATGTGGGCCAGCAGAACCCAAAGACGTGGCCAGAGCAGAGCCCAAGGTCCACTTCAGAGTGCAGGCCAAAGGCGAACAGATAGAAGGCAGTACCCCAAGAGATGCAGCGTTGATCCAAGACTCGACCAGCCCCGCGCCAGTAGCTACGACATCAACACCCGTCGGATTCAAGGAGCCTTCTATCCGAGGTGGGTTCTTGGTCTCCAACCTTCAACCCTAAAAATTCACTATAACGGAACCTACGTAGCCTCTGGTGCGCCAGCCCGTGATACCGCGTCTGAGGCGGCGATGGAGAAGATCATGCACGAACTCGTGATGGAGTCTTCGAAACACCGGTCGCTCCTTGTTGAGATGTTGACGACCAACAGTGAACTTCTTCACGAGCTCAAGCAGCTTCAGAGTCATGAAAACGGCGCGAATTCCATCGCCTCGGACCTTGCGGCTGAGGTCGCACGACTCACGGATGCGGTCGCAATGCTCACAAGGGAGAATCAGCGACTGGAGCAGAAAAGCTCAGCACTTGAAACTCGGCTTCAGAACCAGGTGACTGTCAGCGATGACTTGCGCTGCGAGCTGAAGACGCTGACAGCCTACACGGAGTCACTCGTGCAACAACTGAACACCGACGTAAGCTGCACGAAGACAACAACACCTTGTGCGATTCTCGCGACAACAGGACCTCCGCTACCATCGGCATGCAATTCTCAAAGCGACGACCCAGCACCCTCCCCGGAGGTCGAAGTTGTCCATTCTGGACATGTCCAGGATTCTGGGCCAAGTCGCCGAAACTCGTCAGCAACAGCGGCCTCCGAGGCGCTTGAGCAGATGATGCTGTCCCAAACGATGCACTTGATGTCAAAAACTTCATCGAGCATGGTCCGGTCCAGCACAAGCCCGGAGCCGCTGCATCATCTCGCGCGGCGTGCCAGCTCCGGTTTTTATGAAGGACTCTTGCCACTGCGAGGCACACCGACACAATTTGGTCCAAACGCAGTTGGAGCCAATCTACCGCGCGTGGCCACTGCGATGGGCCTGTCTCTCAGCTCCTCGCCTTTGTCGCATGCGTTTACATCGAACCAATCCAGCCACCCATCACATACCATTCCTCCAAGTGCTTCAAGACCATTTGCACTCGGAGCTGTGCCGCGTGCAAGTAACGGCATCCACCCCGCTCAAGTTCCGGTCGCGTGGCGACAATATAGTGCGCAACCACGGGGCCCAATTGATACAAGCTCCATGATTGAGGGGCTCGCTTCCAATATGGCACACACAAGTCCAACCACGTATACATCAAGTCACAAGGGCAATGCATCGTACTGCGTCAACGACACTCCTGCCTCATCCCTGGTGTAATATATGAACGTGTTTCGTGTTTTCTTCGTTGTTACAAAGAGTTCGCATACGTCGAGACTAGCTATCTCCTTCATTCACGTCCCTGGTGTAAGTGAATAAAATATGCAACTTGATCACAGCCTCACCCGCGGTCGCAAGCGCCCCCGGGCGACTACAGAAGAGCAAGATGCGCCGCCGCCTGCACAGCCACGGCCTGGCGAGTGAATGGAAAAGAAGGGGATTGCTAGTCTCTACGTATGCGAACTCTTTATAACAACGAAGATAACGCGAAACACGTTCATATATATATAACTTGATCACATGCTGATGTTATGCACATTTTTTAGGCCGAATCGTGCCCTGCTACGACAAACCTCATGCTTACCCTATAGGGGATGTGCAAAACGCTCAAGGTGTTGGAACCGAGCCCAGCAGCGCCTCGCCCAACACGCGACGTTGGTACAGGTTGCGCAGCAGCATGACTGTCCCGCGTTGACCCTGAGCTCGAGATATATAGTGTGGAAGGAAGCCAACGATGTTGAAGGTGTTAGGGAACTCAAATGGGTCGTTTATAGCGGCTTCTTTTGTATCCGATCATCGTCGTCGTTTGCTGTTGCGCCTTGTACCCCGTATTCGAGATCTTCGACGCTGTTGGCAGATGTGTAAAAGCGCTGGTCAGATTACTGAGCTACCGTCAATTGCGCAAGTACCATGGCGTTGGTCTAAGCGACAACGTCGCTTTTTGGCGCCAAAATGGCACGGTGAGCAATGTACGCTGCAAGCTCATTGATGGTGATAGAAGAAAGCTGTGGGTACACCTAATCGGTAAACTTATGTGGGGAGTCGCAGTCGTGGAATCTTGAAGCGCGAGTGAGCAGTGGTACCACCGCGAAGGGTAAGTGCAGCGAGGCCCGTAGATGCAACGGCAATCACGACGCGTTCGTTGGACCGACACCATGCTAGCAGAAGGGTGGGCACATAGCTATTTCCAGAGCCCCCCTCGCCGCACAGAAAAATTGGCGTCTTTGTTGGCTCGGAGGCAGGTCGAGCTCGTGGCATCGAAGGTAGTGCGTTGCTGCGCGGTGGCTGTCGGATGGCCCAGAGTAAGACAATGGACATCTTGGTCTCGAACGGACAGTTGTGCGTTCGATCCAAGACGTCAGCTTAAAAGACCTCGCGATACGCATCGAGCTGGGGCAGAGTCGAAACACATACGTAAAGGCCTGCAGATGTGCTTGGGGACGACCTGAGGAAGGTCGTTGATTGTGCAGCACGTGACTTGGGTTCCACGCTGCGTCGAGTTCACCTTGGCGATGTCCTCCTCGTCAATGGCATCGTCACGAAATAAAAACGTCGGCTTCATTCAACGTTAGTACTGGCTTATCTTCGGCGGCCTCTTCGTTCGCGCCGTCGCCGTCAATGTAGACCCCGTCATTTTCGGCGTCATTGTCCTCGTCGTTGGCGCACGGAACCATTGTAAGCCTGACGATGTCTTCCACGTAGCTCACCCGGAGTAAACCCTAAGCTTCGATCTAGAACTAGGCACCCGCAGAGATGCGCTGGCTCAATGGCGCGTCCTGTCGAGCGGGAAATCAGCGCACGACGGCGGTAAGTTATGGCTCGAAATTGGGATCTGAGTCCAACTCGCTCGCCATCTCCGGCATTGGCTCAGGTTCTGATTCGACTTTTGCTGTTTGATAGGGCGCTTGCCATGGCTGCCGTGTCGATGCGCTTGCGTGGGTTGAGGCTCAGAGGCGGCGTGGGTGGCGCGGTTCTCGAAGTGAGGCCGGCAACCGCTGTACCTTGCTTTCGCGGGGCTGCGGAAGTCTTGAGTCGACCTGTCGGCGCCGCGGAAAGCTTCGAGATTTCGGAGAGCAGCGGCCAGCTTGTCGTGCGGCTGGCAACATCGCGTAGCACGTCAACTGGTTGAGATGGGCTTGGCTCTGCGCTCAAGGCCGCACTATCGAGTGGCGCGGGCGGGATCCCTTTGCGTTATGTTGTAGAAGCGGCCTAGTGGTCGACTTCGCCGAGGTAAGAAGGTTTGCGCTTGCAAACTCGAGCCCACGCAAGATGTCAAGCAGAGAGCTGCAAAACGACCCATGGACCATAACCCGGTACCCGGCCCGGCTCAACCCGGTTTTATGGGCCGGGTTGGGTGGATGAAAAAGATATGGGGGTGGGCTCGTTTGGGCTGTATCGGTAGGCCAAAATCATGGGTTGGGTTAGGTTGGCACTTGGTAGTCAGGTCAGTCCAACCCATATTCAGTCGACGATCACACAAATCGATTATGTGATGATGTGCTTGATGTGCTCAACACTGCACTTGACAAAGCGTCTCGTCCAAATCACGGCGGCTGCTCACACGACCAACTCCAATTTCAGCTCGTAAAGTCAGATGCCTTCGACGTTCTGTCGCTCCAGAACGTGGTCATGCCGCGGCGCAGCTAATCTGTGTAAATGAACACAGTTTTGTATTTTTCCGACAATACTTACAAGTCCTCCTCCAGCTCGTCCACCTGCCTCAACTCGCTTTTCTTCTCTGAGCCAAGCTCTGCTGCTGCCGCAGTGCCTCCCTCAGATTGCACGCTAACCACTCTCGCGCCTTTAACGAAACCCAGCACTATCGGACGCGAGCTTTCCTCGGGCGACTCACAGTACACGCTCCAGAAGCCGTCGAAGGCCACGTCCGATTGCTGGGGCCACTTCGGTGTTGTGTTTATTGACGGCGCTTAGGTACGGTGAGTACAACCTCCCACAGCCTCCCACAGCCTCTGGCAACAACCACTTTATCGCGTGCAACATGTACTTCCAAGTCTTTACCATGTTGCCTGCCGTTGGTTGAAGCTCGCTCAATCGCAACAAGCGCCGAACACCAACGACCCAGGCCAGTATCGTCGACTTCATAGGTGACTCTGCTCTTCGCACGCGTTGCGTTCCCGGTGTGATACACTGGGATGGGCCTTGTGGCCCTACCTACGGCCAGACTCTTTTCGGGTGGATAGCTCGTAGATTGCATCTACGAGCTATCCGCCAAAGAGTGTAAATTAGTATTCGCAATGAGGTCGCATTGTCGGTTCGTTGCCTATGGAGATAGAGCTTTGCACACGCTTTTGCATCCAGCGCGAAATCTGCGGTGGCAAAAGTGACCGATGATTACTTATTGTTCAAATCAGCGGTTTATAGTTATGGTGCAGAACAGTAGTATGCAAGAGCGGTACGTGGCCTAAAAGACAAAGACATATATTGAATACTCATAGTAGACAATCAATGTAGAGACAATAAATCAAAGCAGAACGCAGATATTATAAAGAATATACGCACCAATGCACAAACAATAAACATGCTAAGTACCAAGGAGATGTAAACCACAAGACCTTAGAGGAACAGTGAACGAAACACTGGAAATTCTAGAACGAGCCCCCGAAGCCGTACAAAAGATCAAGTACTCAGCTTAGTCTTTCATTGCTTGAAGCAAAAAGATCTAGGAACACTCATCTTGAAGAACTTGGCTTCGAATGACGCTGCCAGCGGGGCTGCTTCACAGGCAAAGCATGTGCGTACACGCAGTGTGCATGATCTTGATGCTAGACATTTTACAAGGACGCTCAGGACGGCCATTACCTCTGTACTAGCTACTAGTGTGAGCCCTGTGGCCCTACGGCCACACTCTATCGTATGCGCAATCTTCTTCAGGCGGAGTAGTTGCTTGATAGTATGCTCGTGCTTGTTACGACGTTGTAGTGTCAGGCAGAAGGTCTTTCTGTTTCTTCTGTGTTTTGCTAACTCGTTCGCATCCAGCGCAAACCCGGGTAGCAGAGTCAATTGCAAGCGATCTTATAGAGCTTAGTCGTGCTGGTCGCTTCCTTTGATAAGTAGCGTGTCAAGAATTGCTTACCACAAATCATATTTGGGTCCATCGTGTTCAGAAATGTCCGACGTAGTCAATGCGATGCGCTTTATATTCGTCTAAGGTCGCATACCTACTTAACAATATGTTGAGGCAAAGTCCAGATAGATGCAGAAGGTGATGCTTTACGACGCTTTTGTGCGTTGCGAACCCGCAGTGCGTTGCGTGGATATCGCTAACTGTGAAAACAGAAGGGTGCAGTAGAGAACAGCCATGAAACAGTAGACACTGCGAGGAAGTAGAAAAAATGCGATGATGTCTTCGCACAGAACGAACACAAACAACGACTGACAGGGTACAAATGAAGACAGTAAACGAAAAGCAGTGTACGCGATGCACCACTCATCCGTAAAACCTACCTGCGAGCAAATACAACTGATATACATGCAAGCTACAGAAAAAGATAAAACGGCAACACCTAACGGCGATCAATTGTACGGGGCTTCCTGCGTATATCTAGTTCTGTGTAGGGGAAGGCAAATTCCGAAATGAGCCGCCAGGGCTCTGCTTAGCCAGTCAGCCGGTTACCATCCATCGCTCAATAAAAGCATCGCACATCCACATATTGACCAATCACACCCATTTCTTGCACACGGTCGGTCATAGGAAGCCGGATACCGATATCCATATCCGGCCCCGTCCAGTTATCGAGAACAGTAAGAAACTGTCATGCAGAGCGTCCCACCAATGCGGCAGCCAGTGCACTCAGCAAACCAACGCTTAACTCAGTCCGTGTACTTCGATTGCCCCTTCGGAACTGTCACGGTGCAGCACGCGCTTTGCGCTTTTAGGCGCGATGAGTCATTGACATAGTGACCTACCGGTGGTGATCCGCCAAGCCTACAAACGCTAGCTTGCTACGCCCATCGGCGCATTACATATACACCCTTCAAACACATACTCGCTGCGCTCAACATTGCCGCTGCATGGCACGCGCTTCGAGCAAAACGTAGACTCGCTCCACTCGTCTTCCCGCGTCGCGGCATGTTGTGAGCAAGGTGACGCCTTGTAGCCCAGAAGAGACTTAAACGGGATAATTTGTCCAGCAATGTCCCGATATCCACCCCGATTGGTAAACTGCCTCCGACAACCCAACAGAGCCCGCACGACTACG